TATCCATAAACAATTAAACAAACTGTTCGAGAAAGAAAATCAGGAAGCATCCATAAACAACTAGACCCACTGTTCGAGAAAAAAAAATCAGGAAGTATCCATAAACAATTAGACACACTGTTGGAGAAAAAAATAAGTAGTATCCATCAACAATTAGACACACTGTTGGAGATAAAAAATCAGGTAGTATCCATAAATAATTAAACACACTGTTCGAGAAAAAAATTAGGAAGTATCCATAAACAATTAGACACTGTTCGAGAAAAAAAATCAGGGAGCATCCATAAACAACTAGACCCACTGTTCGAGAAAAAAATCAGAAGTATCCATAAACAATTAAACACACTGTTCGATAAGGAAAATCAGGAAGCATCCATAAACAACTAGACCCACTGTTCGAGTAAAAAAATCAGGAAGTACCCATAAACAATTAGACACACTGTTGGAGAAAAAAAATCAGGTAGTATCCATACATGAATAGACACACTGTTCGAGAAAAAAAAATAAGGAAGCATCCATAAACAACTATACCCACTGTTCGAGAAACAAATAGTATCCATAAACAATTAGACACACTGTTCGATAAAAAAAGATAGGAAGCATCCATAAACTACTAGACACCCTGTTCGAGAAAAAAAATCAGGAAATATCCATAAACAACTGGACACACTGTTCGAGAAAAAAATCAGGAAGTATCCATCAACAGTTAGACACCCTGTTCGAGAAATAAATAAGTAGTATCCATAAACAATTAGACACCCTGTTCGAGAAAAAAAATCAGGAAATATCCATAAACAACTGGACACACTGTTCGAGAAAAAAATCAGGAAGTATCCATCAACAGTTAGACACCCTGTTCGAGAAATAACTTAGGAAGTATCCATAAACAATTAGACACACTGTTCGAGAAAAAAAATCAGAAAGCATCCATTAACAACTAGACCAACTGTTCGAGAAAAAAATTTGGAAGTATCCATAAATAATTAGACCGACTGTTCGATAAAAAAAGATAGGAAGCATCCATAAACTACTAGACACCCTGTTCGAGAAAAAAATCAGGAAATATCCATAAACAACTGGACACCCTTTTCGAGAAATAAATAAGTGGTATCCATAAACAACTAGACACACTGTTGGAGAAAAAAAATCAGGTAGTATCCATAAATAGTTAGACACACTGTTCGAGAAAATAATAAGGAAGTATCCATAAACAATTAGACACACTGTTCGAGAAAAAAAAATCAGGAAGCATCAATAAACAACTAGACCCACTGTTCGAGAAAAAAAATCAGCAAACATTCATAAACTACTAGACACCCTGTTCGAGAAAAAAATAAGGAAGTATCCATAAACAATTAGACACACTGTTGGAGAAAAAAAATCAGGTAGTATCCATAAACAATTAGACACACTGTTCGAGAAAAAAATCAGGAAGTATATATAAATAATTAGACACTCTGTTGGAGAAAAAAAAATCGGTAGTATCCATAAACAATTAGACACACTGTTCGAGAAAAAAATCAGGAAGTCTTCATAAATAATTAGACACACTGTTCGAGAAAAAAAAACCAGGAAGCATCCATAAACAACTATACTCACTGTTCGAGAAAAAAATCAGGAAGTCTCCATAAACAATTAAACACACAGTTCGAGAAAAAAATCAGGAAGCATGCATCAACAATTCGACACACTGTTCGAGAAAAAAAATCAAGAAGTATCCATAAACAATTAGACACACTATTCGAGAAAAAAATCAAAAGTATCCATAAACAATTAGACACACTGTTCGAGAAAAAAAATCAGGAAGCATCCATAAACAATTAGACCCACTGTTCGAGAAAAAAATCAGGAAGTATCCATAAACAGTTAGACACACTTTTCGAGAGAAAAAATCAGGAAGCATCCATGAACAACTAGACCCACTGTTCGAGAAAATAAATCAGGAAACATCCATAAACAACTAGACCCACTGTTCGAGAAAAAAATCAGGAAGTATCCATAAACAATTACACACACAGTTCGAGAAAAAAATCAGGAAGTATCCCTATATTCGAAATTCTAAGTTGACTAGAAAGTTCACCTCACATTGGTCGAGATCAAACAATAAAAAAACCGGATTTTGTTCTCGAACAGTGTGTCTAACTGTTGATGGATGCTTCCTGATTTTTTTTCTCGAACAGTGGGTCGGGTCTAATTGTTTATGGATGCTTCCTGATTTTTTTCTCGAACAGTAGGTCTAGTTGTTTATGGACACTTCCTGATTTTTTTCTCGAACAGTGGGTCTAGTTTAAAACAAACTCTGCTTTCGAACATAATTTTACTACATGTATTAAATACAGAGTTATATCAGGATTAATTTTAATCTATAGATTTTGTTAGAGACGACGAGATGTAATAACTTCGTAGTATATGAAATACTTACACTGGCAGTTTTCACAATACTCAAATTATGAAGAAAAAGTAATTTTACTTTTATTGCCAAATATTGCATAATGGGTTGACATTTATAACGTTTTAAATTAGACTTATTTACCTTATCCATGTTGCTATTTTTTTTAACAATTTAATGCATCTATATAGTAATGAAAACATATGTAAAGTGTATGTTTACTTGATTTTGTTAATATGTCTTTTGATTGAGTTAATCTATTTTAATTGATATTTTGTGTATGTGTGTCTTTCTATGTTGGGATGCTACATTCAGATAAGGGTGAAGGTTGGCGCCTGTAAAAAAGCTCTAAACGCGCTGCATTTGTTTGTTGGTTATCCTGTTTGAATGGTTTCCGCTAGTCATTTCTGGGCCCTTTATAGGTTTCTGTTCGATATGAACCTAGGCTCTGTGTTGAAGACCGTACTTTGACTTATAATGGTTAACTTTTACGAATTGTTACTTGGATGGAGAGATGTCTCATTGGCACTCGTACCATATCTTCTTTTATCTAATTATGCGTTTTAGAAATGATCACTATGATACACAAATAACTCATATGTTGGGCTAGACTGTTTGGTCATTCCTTGACTCGAACTTGGTTCATTGGAAAAGTTTTATAACGGATTGAGACGAAAGGATACATATATATGTTTACAGGAAAATGAAATTTTCTCATGAAACCTTGAAAATTTCAGAAGTTACCTTGGAAACAACTGACAGTTACATTACTGTTTCTTTTATTCTTTTTTTTTCTTTTGTGTGTTTTTAGAGGGAACAATTCAATTTACTAGTAGTCTTAAACGGTCATTTTGATCCTAACATTATCTACAAAGGCATTCACTGAATGCATGTTGTACTATTCAGAAACTTTGCTTGCAATCACAACTGTTCATTTTCTTTTCAGAAAATTCTAACTGAAGAGTCTGAATATAAACTGAGCATATCTTATTTATCTGTAATCAATCTGACTGAAAAAATACTGAATAAACCGCATTGGATGAATCTTACAATTTACTTAAAGACTGAAAAAGAAATCAGATCAAAATGACAGTTTCAGTTTAGAATTGGTTGACTTGTAGGGGACATTCACCTTGTCGCAAATTATAAGTAAGAGATATGATTCAGTTTTAGAATTTCATTGTTTTATTTCTCTTTTTCAATATATCGTTTATTTTGACATGTTATTGAACATATACCCCTTTGGTTAATCCAGTGTGTGAGCTATATTATAGTTTAAGAGAAAAACATAAATTAGATAATTTCTATTTTGTAATTTGTAATAAGAAACAAATGGTTACCAGAAACAATTTATTGCAGGGATTTGATTTAAATGTTCATCTAAGGAATACAAAGTAGATGTATATTTCCTTTAAAACAAGTTCAAAAGCAGTAATACATATTTCTACATAAAACTATGTACATTTTATGCTACGTTAGGATATCTATGAAGTCAGGGCAGGTATTGACACATGCTTTTTAAATTCGAAGTTATTAGTTGCTGGAAACAGGACGGCTGATATTAATAAAAGATCTACTGTGCATGGATAAAATATAAATTCCTTTAAAGTATTTGGTGGTATGAACGAATACATAATAAACATGCCTCTGGTTTGAATTTTATTGTAATTTCAGTCATGTTAATTGCTGTATGTTTTGTCTTCATCTTTTTGTCTGGTGTAATTAAAAGAATTTTATGGTAAATTGCAAAATGTTGGTGTATAGTGTTATAGAATACAACGAGTATAAAGTATTGCACGCTGATTGATATAACAGTCTAGCTTGGAGAACATGATGTATTAGTAAGTTGTAATTGGCTTTGACGAAACTGTCAGTTAATGTGAGTTCTTTACTGCTCCATGGTAGTGAGGTGATAGGGAGCTCTCAACCACACTTAACCCGGCCATTTAATGATTGCTGTCTGTCATATTTGTTTTTCTATATACTGTCAAGTAAATCAGACCGTTGGTTTCCTAGTTTGACTGTTTAATATTTTGTCATGTCAGGGCCAACTAACATTGAACATACGATATGAGTGTTGTTCATCATTGAAGGCCATACGGGGACCTATGGTATTCCTTGCATTAACGTCATTTGTCCTCTGGTGGAAAGTTGTTTCATTGTCAATCATACAACCTGTTTTTTTCTTCGTCAATTAAGTGGTCACTGTCAACTGGGTTTAGGATTTTAAGCATAAAAGGTGCAATGTATATACAGGTATGAGTAAAAACAGATGCCAATATGAGATAATATGCCAGTTTTCGTCATATAACTTGTCTTTAGTTACATCATTGATGAATTCAATAAGTTGTGATTCACATGAAAATCAACAAAAAAAAACACGAATGTCTGCTTTTTGCGAGCTCAAAAATGTCAAGTTTAATTTGTTTTTTTTTGGGTGGGATGTACTCTGATCTGAACTTTTTGTACTTTATACAGCTGTAGAATCTATCAAACAGTTTTGTTTATCGTGAAATTTGCAAAAAGAACGTTCATACAGATTTTCCATTTTCTGCAAGTTTGAGTACTCCTTCTAACCCGTTGTATTTGTTAAATAAAAATGAGCATACGATTATCATTGTTTAGTATTTATTTGTTAAAGGTAACAATTATAGTTTGAATCAAACATTCGTTTTACAAATGAGAGGTTAAGCTAGCTATAAAAGCAGGTTTAATGCGTCATACAAATGAGAGGTTTCGATAGATATGAAACCAAATTTAATCAATCATTTTCTACATCATTTGATTAAACACTTTTGTTTTGAATATTCCTCGGAGTTTGGTATTTTTGTTATTCCACTTTTCCTGAGTATGGTTTAAACTTTTGAGAAAAAAAACTTATTCATTTCAAACAAACGCAATCAAATCTAAAAAAAATCTTTTTGATATAACTAACACTGAAGCCATGAGAGACGCACCGACAAACACACTTTCAAATATATTACATAATAAACCATACAGAAGTGTCTTAGAGAATCTGGATATAAAAAAGAAAAAAAAAGAAAAAGTTGCGATAATACAAAAGTACTAAAATATGAAGAAGCACTCCTATTTTCCAAATCAATAGCATCTAAAGACTCTGTACCAACAGATGTAACATGTGTATCTCCACCATCTCTTTCTGCAATATCGACCAAGGTAGTAATAATAATAACATGCTCTTTTTTGGATGCCGTGTTCTGCAAGTATAAGAAAAATGGCTAAAAAATAGATCCTGAACATTCATGTAATATTGTCAATTTAGCAGTATTTTTAACATTGCAATAAAGTGCTAGATTTTGCTAGCCACAAGATCAGGTTCAACCCACTATTTTTTCTTAATTGTCCTGTACCAAGTCAGGAAAATGACAGTTGTTATCTAATAAATCGTTTCTATGTATGTTGCATTGTCGTTTTTTTTTCTGCTGCACTTCAGTGTTTCTGTAGTTTCGTTGTTTTCCTCTTAAAGTTGATGTGTTTCCCTCGTTTTTGTAACCCGCATTTGTTTTCTCTCAATTGATTTATGACTTTTGAACAGCGGTATAATACTGTTGCCTTTATTTAGGTAGTCAATAATAACACACGAAGAAAAAATCGAAATTAAGAAAAAAATAAAGTGAGGAACAACTTTGTATAAATTGTGGTACACATGTATTCTTGCGTAGTTATAACTATTAACACCACTGGGTCGATTCCACTGCTGGTGGACGTTTCGTCCCCGAGGGTATCACCAGCCCAGTAGTCAGCACTTATGTGTTGATATGAATATCAATTATATGGTCATTTTTATAAATTTCCTGTTACAAAACTTTGAATTTTTCGAAAAACTAAGGATTTTCTTATCCCAGGAATAGATTACCTAAGCCGTATTTGGCAGAATTTTTTGGAATTTTGGGTCCTCAATGCTCTTCTTTTGAAGACGAAACGCGCGTCTGGCGTATTAAATTATAATCCTGGTACCTTTGATAACTATTTACGCTGCTTGATCCCAATAATTGTCGCATTAACCTTAATTGTATCTGTTTGGGTTGCTCACTCATTTTCATCAATATAATTGAACTATGAACAACTTTATACAAGTTAGAAGTTTAGCTAGCATATAAAACAGATTAACCTATCATTTTTTTCGGAAAATGCCTGTACCAAGTTGGGAATAAGACAGTTGTTTTGAATTCGTGTCGTTGGTTGATAAAGTATAAAGTTTGATTTGTAGGTTTTAGGGAATTCTCCTATTTGAGTTTATCTAGGAGTTGTTTTTTTGTTATCCTTTTTTATAGTCAACTTTTATTAAGCTTATGCTGATGTATTGTATCTAAATACTGCAAGTCCGGCGAACCTAAATGAGTCTTGTATTTTTTTTAATTTAACATTTTTTTTTTGCGGGACTGCACGATTGAATACTTTTTTGTGGTTTCCCACACATTTGTTGCAAATTTTTTATACATTTAAGGATAACATCCAACAACTTTATTTCTTGGGAAACACTTTCATAAAGTTGTTGATTAAATTGAAACTAAAAAGCGTACCTGTGTTACAATGAACCGCCTTAACATAAGCAATATCTAAGTCTCCACATTCTTCTTTGATTTCTGTTTTGGTGTCATTCGTAATGCTTTCGTTATCTTCAAAAGCTTCATAGCATGTTTTGGAATCTGAAGGGTCCTGTGAAGACAAATCAATGAACGAGTTAAATAATATATATTTAGTATCGTCTCGCATGATATGCAATTGGAATTTCTATTTTCATTTCAGTTAACTAAGATAATTTTGAAAACTAAATTTGTAGAGTTTAGATAGTCTAGAAATATGCATATCTATGTTTGCATTAAAATGTATGTTCTCCAATCATAGTCGATAATAATTGTTCAAGATATGATTGCCAAAAAGTGAGATATTTTTACAATCTCCGACATAGTGACATCTTAAAAGTCCTTTAGTATTTTTGATGAATTTAAATTTACAATCGTTTCCACACCAGATGCCTGTTTGTTTTTAAATTGATGAATATATTGGATTTTTTTTCAAAAACTTTTTTTAATCAGCAGTCATTGATTTTAGGGTCTCGTATACAATTAGATAAGTTACTACATGTATTTACCGACACCTTTGCCTCCTTTTCAACTTCATTTTTTTGGAAGGAGGGAGGGTCTATAAATGCACCATTGAATATAATTTATAATGTTAAAATCGCAACTTTAAATGCTTTTATAGTTTTATAGTGCTATCCTCCTGATTTCATTTATAATAATTTGACAAACAACTGTACTAATGATTATGTTTAGCTCTTTTCCTTTTGAAATTGTCTTGTTGGATTCTACACTTCTATAGGGCAGTTGTAAAGCGTTCACTTTAATTATTAGTCCACAATGAACGGCCATTCATGTATAGCATTTTATAATACATGAAAAGCCATGTACTTTGAAAAATATACGGGAAAATACTGATTTTCCATTAGACGAGAATAGGTGCGTATGTTTAAATCGAAAAAAAAAATATCTCACTTTATTGTGGTCGGTAAAATATGACCCGTGTTCTACAAAACTTTGCAGAAATGAATTTTATGACGATATATCAGTTAGATAATGCATATTTTAAGGTTTTTCTTGTCTCTCCTCGGGGTATCAGAATAGTTTTACACTAGTCATTCTAGGGCCCCTAAATAGCTTCCTGTTCCGAGCGAGCCAAGACACCGAGTTGAGTGCCGTTAATTTGCCTAATCTGATTTACTTTACAAATTGTGACTTGGATGGAGAGTTGTCTCATTTGCACTCATACCACATCTTCTTATATATATATTATTTGTAACAAAAACTCTGGTTGCAAAGCAATTATATAAATGTCACAATTGAATAATTAGAAAAATATCACACACAATTCTATAACCAACTGGTTTGAAGACATTTAATCATGTGAAACCTTGTTTGCCCAGTTTCTTTTCCATTCAAAACGTTTGTTGACATTCTCTTACATTTACCTCATAAAACTGAACATTGCAGGTTCTGTTATACTTGATGATTGAATACTCCTAAAACAAAGGAAAATGAATAAGAATGTTTGATATAAGTGACCCTTGTTTAACATTATTTCAAAAGATATAAATGAAAGAAGATTGTGAGTCATGTCGTCTTACAGATTCAGTTTCCTTGACGAATTAACAAATATTGTACGTATATATAACTACAGTGTTCACATATGTTAATTCATAAAAAAAGATGACGACTGAGTATTGAGACTATAATCATTTGCATGTATATTCGATTTGTATTTAAATCTATATTTATGTTTATACAGCTTATATGACCATCGAAGGTCTTCAGAGGTCAACTTGATAGTTAATTAGATGGCGTCTTGACTTAATTACACACGAAATGAAGTTAAATATTATCAAGCCTATACCCTGCAAATTGTTTATTTTAGACTTTTATAAATTTGGATCAATGTTTTACATGATTATAAATCAAATATGACAATTTGAGTCAAATCGGTGAACATAAATTTGACAGCTATAGCTCCTTTAACAACATCAACAATATTTTAAAAAATTAACAATAAATCAATAAATGAGTCTTACTTGTCATCTTACTTTGTCTTTACTTGTAATTTCGTCTGCCAGTATAACACCATCTTTCTTTATTATTGCAATATCAGTGTTCCCAATTTCAACATCAATTACGTCATAATCCCCACCTTTATTGTCTTTCAACACGTTTTCTGATACCTAAAAAATTACATCTTAATTAGTTACTGTTCATTTTTTCACGGTGCTCCATTCGTTTTCAATCGTATGAATGTATGTGCAATAAAATAAAATGAATAAGTTTTTGACATGCATGGCTTATCAAGTTCTGCATCAATATGAGGTATAAAGGCAAATAAACTCATCATGGATACCAGGATTGAAATTCTATATTAACGCCAGACGTGCGTTTCGTCTACAAAAGACTCATCAATGACGCTCGAATAAAAAAAAATATTAAAATGGCCAAATAATTAAAGTACGAATTTGAAGAGCATTGAGGACCACAAATTTCTAAAGGTTTTGCCGAATACAGGTAATCTATTCCTAGATAGAGAAGCCTTAGTATTTGAAAATTCATAGTCTTGAAAGCAGTAGTATGGATGTGTTCAAAAGTCATCCATCGATTGATGACAGTTTATGTTTTAGAATCTTTAAAAATATAACAATAAAAGATGTACATGTGCAAATCAGTTTGTAGACACAAGAATTTATATATATATAAATTGGAAATATGTCAAAGAGACAACAACCCAATCGAAGATCAGAAAACAGGCAAATGCCACCAATTGATCTTCAACACAGCGAGAAAATCCCGCACTCAGAGGGGGGCTTCAGCTGGCCCCTAAACAGAATATACTTTAGTTCAGTAAGAATGGACATCACACTAACTCCGAATCATATAAATGAAGTAAAATTAAAAAAAAAAAAACCCAAAAAACCCCAAAAACTTACAAAACTAACAAAGGCAAGAGGACCCTGACTTCGAATAGGTGCAAAAATGCGACGGGTTTTAAATACTTAGTTAGATTTTAACCCTCCCCCTATATCTGTAGCCAATGTGAAACAAAAACACAGCAATATGCACAGTTAAACCCAGTCTAAAAGTAGTCCGAGTCTGATGTCAGACTAGGAAACAGAATAACCAAAGAAAAAGAACTACTAGCACTTACTGACATGCCAGCTCAGGACATCAATTAAACTAATTGTATGATAATGTCTTCATCAAATAAAAATGAAGCACATTTCCTCCCGTTATAAACTCGTAAAATATATTAGAAGAATGTATACCCCGTATCATGCCAACAACTGATTAGAATAATTATAAAATATCGTTGATCATTTCAACGAGACTGATTTTCTCGCTTGAGCCGGTACGATATCGCTATTTTGCTTATGGTTATTGTTTGGATTATACTTTTGAATTACACGTTAATTACAATACCAAAAACTCATTACCTTGGATGCTTCAAACATACTGGCATTCAACACAATGAACGATAAAACTATCCATCTATACATTTTCTCACTACAAAAGACATTTGATAATACAATAATAAAACCTATTATGCTTATCAGTATTTTCAAAATGTAAATCACTTACAGAATGACACAATAGCTTAACAATTAACTTTTGCTTGTAATGTATGATCATTGCGACTTTTGAACTATCTATTCCTGACCATTATTGTGATGTACCTAACAAAATATGTTTTGATCCGATCTAAGAACGCACATATTGAATTGAATGTAAGCCATTTTAACCTTCTGTATATGCATTTTACAAATTTCGTTCGCACATGACTAACCAGCTGTGACGCTCAGATGAAAAAAGTTCGAAAGCCAAAACGAGTACAAAGTTGAGGCGCACTGGGGTCCAAACGTTCCAAAAAGTTGTGCCCAATACGGCTAGGGTTTTCTGCCTGGGATAAGAACATCCTTATTATTTAGAATAATTCATACTTTTGCAAACAGTAAATTTCATAAAATGACTATATAATAGATATACATGATAAAACCGAAGTGGTGACTAACAATAGAATAAAAACGGATACATTACATAAAAAAACCTAAACCAGCACATAAAAATACACAGCCGAGTTAGCCAAAGCCATGAACGCACAAAGTGACGTCACATTTGAATTTCTAAAAGAAATTCCCAAAAATAAGATAGAATTAGGATAGAATTCAAGATTAGATTTGTAATACTGATATAACATTTATTAATAACAATGAAAATTACATCACTAATTAATATCAAATTGTGGTAGTAATTAGACAATTTATTGTATTATCTAGCTATGTCGGTGTTTCTTCTGAATCAAACTGTAAACCAAATATATCTTTTAAATTTCGTTTACCCAAACTAAAATCTAATAAATGAACTGGGTGATTAATTATCTTTACCATAACACACGAATACAACAGAAAAAAATAAGATTTACAACTACAAACGTTAAGACATTCGACAAAATCCGATACTTTAATAATGTAGCCATTTATTTTTATACTTATTTCTAACCTAAGATTCATATGTTTATGTCATGACGTAGAAGATATTGTAAACCTTAACTGGCCTTTCTATCTATGTGGATTTATATTTAAGCCTGTTCTTGTAACCAATTGATTTGAATTTTTATCCCAAGGGATAGCGAAGGTTAAAATACGACTATAAATGTCTAATTCATTGTTAAATGAAAACAAATATACGGTTATCATGAGTTATTTTGATTATAATAGACAAATACATATAGTAATTGAGTTAATAGTACGCCCGATACTGTTTTGCTGTTCCGTTTTACCCAAACTTATTGAATAATAGATTAAAAAAAACCTAACAATTTTTCACTCCCAAATGTTCTTTGTATCTAATTTTATTACATTCTGAGTCGAACAAGGAGAATGAAAACGGCTGGTGTTTACATCATACACCGAATGCATACACATAAGAATGCCTGTGATTTTGTGGTCATTTCGGGGTCTTTTATAGCAGACTATGCAGTATGGGTTTTTACTCATTGTTGAATATCGTACGGTGTCCCTTAATTGTAAACTGTTATGTCATTAGGTCTCTGGTGGAAAAATGTCTCATTGACATTTTTACCACATCTTCTTACTTTTATAAATGACGTCACCTTGTTTAGTTGTCAAAGACGATAACATCATTTCGTAGGAGTAATATAAACTTATACTAAAATAATAGCTGAAATTGGCTGATCTTTTTTATTAATATGTCCTCTCTATACCGGAAAGTATAGTTAAGGGATACTATTAATTTATTTTCTTTATTCTAAAAAAGTTTCTATATGAAGTCAGACTCATATTATCCTGGTTTCCGATACTGCGTTCCAGATATTAGTTTTATGTGTAACATTCTGAATATTGCAATCAGTTCCCATGGGAAAATACGTCCTCCAAACGTAACAAATATGTTGTGAATCAAGAAACAAGTCAGTTTCAGATTAAAAACTGTTTTAATCATATTGATGGTTTTACAAAGTACGATTTATCCTTCTCAAAGACGTTATATCAAAAAGAAGATGTGGTATGATTGACAATGAAACAACTCTCCACAAGGGACCAAAATGACACAGAAATTAACAACTATAGGTCACCATACGGCCTTCAACAATGAGCAAAGCCCATACCGCATAGTCAGCTATAAAAGGCCCCTAAATGACAATGTAAAACATTTCAAACGAGAAAACTAACGGCCTTATTTATGTACAATAAATGATCGATAAACAAATATGTAACACATAAACAAACGACAACCTCTGAATTACAGGCTCCTGACTTGGGACAGGCACATACATACATAATGTGGCGGGGTTAAACATGTTAGCGGGATTCCAACCCTCCTCCTAACCTGGGACAGTGGTATAACAGTACAACATAAGAACGAACTATACAAATCAGTTGAAAAAGTTTTAGCTTATCAGATGGAACAAAAAATTCTACGTTGGCTTTTCTTTTTAAAGATCGAAATAAAACAGGACCAACTCTTTCAATTTCTCTTTTAGTTTGAAATGGTGAATACCTGTGTAAAGTGTAGAAAAGTCAAATGTTTTAATACTATTGCAAGATACAAAGAGTCTGCTATATAGAAAGTGCTCCAACAGATCTTTGGTATTTTTTGTCGGAAAAAGTATCCACGTCTTCTTTCTGTCGTTAAATTAATTAGCCTGAAATGAATCTCGACTGCATCCATTAGTATTTTGAAGTTGAGTTTTTAATTGATGGATTTAGGCTCACGATATTTCGGGTCTTTGGATAACACTTTTCGCAGAGAAGTGTTATTGACTATGTTTAGGTCACCGGTAATAGCGTGGCCAAACGGATTATATACTAGTCAACAAAAGAAACGATACACAGGCTTGAACTTCAATCTATCATAAAATATAATGAACAGGAAAAACTGTTAAATTATCCAATGAAAAACATTCATTTACAACGCAAACGCATATGATTAAAAGAATTTGACCAAATTTGAAAGTTTGAAATTACCTGAACACAGGGGAAATGTATTTTGCTTTTAAATATCGTGAGCCTCAATCCATCATTAACTGAGAACACAACTTCAAAATACTGATGGATGCAGTCGAGATTAATGACAGGCTAATGGTTCAAAACGTGAGAAAGTAGACGTAGATACTCTTTCCAAATTGATTAATTAGGGGTGTAAGATCGTTGATACAGTCTTAAAAAACTAAATGGGTTTATCTATTAATACCCATGCTACGTCAATCTTTAAAGACCCAAATGTTGCAAAACATGTGTCCTACCTCCATGACAAATATGTTGATGTCCCCGTAGTTAAAGCCCAAAACAACATCGTTTTTGTGTGTAAAGCACATTACATTAACTGCTTGATAAATGAATTGGGTATTGACAATTTTGTTGGAAACTCAACTTATATCACCAAGACACTCATCCACTGCATACAGAGTATATATCTCCCAATTGATACGATATTCCCGGGCTTGTATTTCCTATCATGATTCCCTTGATAGAGGGTTGCTGCTCACAAGGAAGCTATTAAACCAAGAGTTTCAAATGGTAAAGTTGAAATCATCCCTTCGAAAATTTTACCGACACCATCGTTGGTTGACCGTTATGGAATAACCGTTTCACAGATGATATCGGATATGTTCCTTATGTAGTGACTACCCTTCCCTTTTCACGAGCTATCTAATTAGACTATTTACCGGGTTTGTAATAACATGAGTAACATGACGGGTGCCTGTGGAGCAGGATCTGCTTACCCTTCCGGAACACCTGGTGGGGTTCGTGTTGCTGTGTGTTTAGTTTTCTATGTTGTTTCTTGTGTACTATCATTTGTCTGTTATACAAAAAATACCAAAGATCGTTTGGAGAACATTCAATCTAAGACTTTTTCATCTTGCAATAGTTTTAAAACATTTGACTTTTCTACAATTTAAACAAGTATTCCCAATTTCAAACTAAAGGACAAATTGAAAGAGTTGGTCCTTTTTTGTTTCATGAGAAGAATAGCCAACGTAGATACAAGTATCTTGTCTACACGAAGCGATAAATCGTACATAGTAAAAAAATCAATCTGAAACTGACTTGATTTCTTGATTGACAACATATTTGTTACGTTTGGAGGATTTGCTTTCAACACATGATCAGTATTTCTATGGGAACCAAGTGTATTCAGCTTTTTGCCGACTTGTTCCTTAATCATATGAGGGTAGACTGGTTCCGATCGCAATATTCAATATGTTACACAAATACCAATATAACTATCAGCTAATACATGGAACGTGGTTCCGGGAACCAGGTTAATATGAGTCTGACTTCAAACAGTATTCCTTAACTCTACTTTCCACTGATAACATATTAATAAGAAATCAGCCGATTTCAGCTATTATTTCGGTGTAAATTTTCTTTTAAACGAAAATTCTGTGAAATGATGTAATCGTCTTTGACAACTAAACAAGTTGATGTCATATAAAAACTTAAAGAAAATGTGGTAGAAATGCCAATGAGACAACTCTCCACCAGAGAGCAAACGACATAACAGTTAACAACTAAGGAACACCATACGGTATTCGACAATGAGAAATCCTATACTGCATAGTCAGCTATAAAAGACCCCAAAATGACCATTGAATCACGGGTATGGTCAGGAATATGACAGTTGTTGTCCATTCGTTTGATGTGTTTTATCATTTGATTTTTGCCATTTGATTAGAGACTTTCCGTTTTGAATTTTCTTCGCAGTTCAGTATTTTTGTGATTTTACTTTTTATGCTTATATATATAATATGCATTAGGTGTATAATGTAAACACCGGCCGATTTCAATCTCCTTGTCCGACTCAGAATATAATAAAATTGGACAAAAAGAACATTTGTGGGTGAAACATTGTGATTTAAAAAAAATGAGATAATATTTTAAATATCTAACGTTTTATTAAAACGAAACATCAAAATAGTATCGTGCGTACTGTTGACTAAATTATTGTATTTGTCCTACTATAGGACCAAATAACTCATGGTAGCCGTAGATTTGTTTTCATTTAACAATTATTAAGACATTTATAGTCGTATTTTAACCCTCAAGATAAAAATGCCCAACCCATTGTT